TCTTTGGATTTAGCTGTGTTAATGCATTAAGCCATTTTTCGATTAACGGTTTTCTTGGGGACAAAACTCTTAAACTCATAAAAATGTTGTCTTTCCATTTGGATTATACTGCCATGATCTTAGCAATATATTGTGCTTACAAAGCTGTGAATTGGTTGTTCCTGGTTGTTGTTTTTAAGTTATAAGCACTTCTGACTTTGTAAGTTCATTGATTAGCTAATATTGCAGTGTAATTTTAATTTTACTCGTCATATTTTCGTCAACATTCTGAAGATTATGAAATATTCGGGGATTTGGAGGTGCGAAAATGTTATAACAGTTTTTTTATTTCTTTTTGCTCAGAACAAAACAAAACAAAACAAACAAACAAAAAAAACACTCTAATCTATAGCACTTAAGACATTTGACAAAATAACACACAGAACTGGCAAAAGGCACTGCAGATGACACGGCGCAGACGTCACATAGCTTCTCACGTATCTTCTCACGCAGCTTCTCACACGAGAAAGGGGGCGACGAAAGTGTTGTGCTTCTTATCACACGTCATTGGTCACCGCTTCTGCTCACGGCAAGGTACGCAAAGATCGACACTACTGATTGCTTAGTTAGCAAAGTAAATGCATAAAGCACACCTCATACCACTCCTCATAGTGTGTCGTCATCAGCGCTCCTGCAAACACTAGGCTTGTTTGAGATGAGCAAAATCTGCACAGAACCGATCACCGGTGATCACCGCGAGATGCATGCCGGTTAGAAAAGTGTCCGAGTTACGTCCTTCGTTGGTATCTGTTCCCTTCCAGAGGTCAGAACTGTCCGTCTTGACTGTGCTTATTTCACTCCTCCCCTCACTGCAGCCGCCTACTCTCGCCTTCATTTCAGGCAAGGCGAAGCACATCTCAAACAAGCCTACTCTAAAAAGCTGCGCCAGCTGAGCCGGCTGCTCTCGAAACGCTATCGCGGTACTTTGATGTCACTCGTGACAGTGACGTGGCCTCGGCGCCGGTTCAAGTCGGACAAAATTTCTAACCGGCATGCACTGCTTCAAGTCAGCCGCCGATCGTACTGCGCAGCGCATGAAGTCGAACGCACCTAATCTCTGTATTTGCTCCCTGCTATTTAGATCTCAACTTTCCAGTTAAGCTCCTCCTCTCATTCTCCAGTTCTGATCCTTGTCTGGCTCTCTTCCTCCATTCTTGGATTGTTCTCTGGTCATATCTTCCTAATTAGCATGCTTTAATGGTTCTTACTTGTGTCTGACTCATCTCTTTTCTTTATCAAGAAATACTGAATATTGTTTAAAAACAACTCAGTGTTATTCTGTATGGCATTTTGGGGCAGTTTTTGATACATTTTACACAGGACATAGAGTTGCACCAGAATGGGAACTCTAAAGAAGTTTTTATGATGTTAATTTTTAAGTGGAAAAGTCTATTATTAGTATTAGATAAGTATTAGGTTTTATCCATGATTCTGGTAGAACTAAGGCTAATCAGAGACCTTATTTTTCAAAAACCTAAATTGGATTTAGGGTTATGGTAAATTGGTAACATTGAAAAATTAGGGTCAAATAGCACAAATATGGGACAAAAAGACCATTTGTGAACCATTGCCTACAGTAGATTATGGTGCCATCTATCATGTTTTTTATTTATTTATTATTATTATTATTTTTTTGTATAGGATGGCAATTTAGACTGGTTGTTGTTCTGTATCATTTTTCAACAAGACTGGTTTTGATTCCAAAATGAGAACACTTACTTAAAAAAAAAATAATAATCTCTGCACATTGCTAACAATTAGTCCACCACCTTATTTATACAAATGTTTACTTTTAATTTTTCATGTTTAATTTTTCTACTTTTGAAAAATGTTCTACTATGGAATTCTTCTCACATTATTATGCTGTCTGGCTTTGCTTTTTGCTGATCACAGTAGTGACTAAAATGCAGGAAGGAAAAGGCAGAGTACAGCCCCGAAAACCTTTCCTGGTGTTTAACTGATCTTAAAAATACCAGGCATCTCAAGACGGCCTTTTTCTGTTTCAGCTTAGTTTTTTTGGTTTTAACCACTGGTTTTAGGCAAATGTTTCTGACAAAATTAAATACATCATGCACAACAGCCATTTTTGAGATATCATGATTTGTAGTGCTTTATGTTAATCATGCAGTTTTCTTTATGGGTTTGTGCTTTTGTTTATTTTGTGCTAAAATGATTATATATACAGTACCTGTTGTCCATGTTATTGTCTTTGTCCAGACTTGTGCACATACGCCAAATAATACAATGGGAAGTTTGAGGTTTCCTGTGGTTCTCCTGGTGCTCTTATACACTGTAAGCTCTCACATGTATCATCACTACTTAAAGAATTCTGTCAAAATAAAAAAAAAATTCTGTCAAAATCAAATTTTGTGAAGCTTAGAAGACTTTTTTTTTCTCTCCAAAATTTCTGGCTGTGATTCTTAATTGTGCTTTCAGATGGTTGTGTAGATAACTGAAGAAGCGATACAGATGGGCATGCTTCCTGAAGCTGCTGATTACTTGTTCCAGAATTGTCAGAAAGAAATGCTGCAAATGGTCACAAAAAGTGGAGGTCTGGTGCAGACAGAGCTTAATAACAATCCAGATTTTAAAATGATGTGGAAAGGCAATGCAGCATGCAGCAAGACCATTCCTGGGGGTACACCGGAGCACATGGCTGCACTGCATAGCTATGCAGAAGCTAGTCCTAAATTTCATGGAAGATTCAAGAAGTTGGTTCAGACTAGCATGGGCATTTCAACTTAACCGAGATGAGTTTCCTTTCAAATCTCTTTTCTTCCTGCTGACAGATGCCATGCAACTCATAGGCAAAAACCATTGTCGTACAGGGAAGGAATATAACACCAAAATCGGGGAGAAAGTACGTTTTGAGAGTTTTTTTTCCAGCAACACTGCACTATACTGCTGCAACTGAAGATACAAGTCTCAGTGATAACATTGGGACTGTTTTCAACATCACTTCTTGTTCTATGATCCGCTTTGAAGATTATGGATGTATTTCAGAGGAAATTGATCTGCTAATATCACCCACTGAAGTTTTTACAGCTACGGGCATCAAGACTGTTAGCAATAGTAATGATAATTTTAAAGAAATCACCTTAACACATTCTCACTTTCAAAGTTCTTCTAACTGCAGCGACCTTGTCAGGTAAGTGAGAGAGAGCAGTAAAGATGTGTTTGATTGCATAAAATACTAATTTGTGATAAACTGAGCACATTTAAAATAAACATACTGATCTGAAATTTCTCTTTCTGTTGAAAGCTTGCCTGAAGAATCTAAAGAATCATCTTAAAGTTTCCCGAGTTCCAGTTTACTGAATCTGATGGCTTCCATACTCATGCTGTACTACACACTGACTCTGTAGTATACTCTGTATGTTCACAAAAATGCAAAGTAAAAGTTACTTGAATGTTATATGCATGTTAGAACACATTCAGTGTTCTTGACTTATTAGGAAGAATTTATCACTATAATAAATTACTTTGTTTTAATGCATTTTCTCTGTTCTCATTTTAATTATAATCCTTAAGACCACTTAAACCTTAAAAAACCCTAAACTGCAGTGTTCTTTGAAAATCCCCAAGCGTTGCAAAAACGTCCATACATTCGCTTTTTCATTTCCATTAAGTGTATTGCAGACACGCTCAAGGTATGATTTTACATGAAGTACCCATACCACCAGAGGGCGCCATTGCGATAGTCCTATAATAATTTTTAAATAATATTTTTGTCATTTCTGTCGTGTTGCAAATTCATATTTATATTAATGGGATACAATTATACTAAAATTAGAGAAAATTTCAGTTAAATGTTTCTTTACTTGGTATGTTGTGTTCTGTCAATGTCTTCAGTTTTACAATTATCAGACCTGTACTCAGAAAAAAGTTGTCATTGGGGCAAGGTATTTGTATTTTATTTTATTTTTTTCAAATAAACAGAGCTGTTGTAATGATTCTTTACTCAGTTTTATTTTTCTCCCAAGATTCTCATGCCAAAGACCCCCAAATAAGATGATACCTTTGGTAGAAACAAGTTGTTAATCATTGGGATGTCAGTAACAGGGAAGAACATTACTGTGACTACAGTAAACTCTCCAGTTGTCGACTCATTTATTTAGCTTGAGAATAAGTTCTGCTGTCTATGGTGAGCCAGAACATTGCTTCCTGCTCTCAATTACTTGAGTCACACAATGTCTGATTGTAATTTCATTAAACAAAATGTTGAAGGTATAGAGGAAATTTGGCAGACACTTTTATCCAAAGCAACTTAAATTTCAGCCGAAGTCCTGTATTTATCAGTAATTTAAATCCCTGGGAATTACCAGGAATATAGGAAAAGACCTACAAGATTAGACCTGCTGTAAACCAGGGCTTTTAAAACTGGATCCCATATGACAATCAATTTGGGACCAAATTGCTAAAATATAATGACTTCTTTATTGGCAGCAATAAAGAATCACACTGTGTTAGAAAAGGAATGTGTTTTTTTCTTTCCATAAACTAATGGTATTATTGACTTTTGTTTTATTTCGTAATTGTATGGCCATATTGATTTTTATTTCTCTTATTTGTATAAAAATACATAGAATTGGCTACTTACGAAGTAGGCTATTACATATATAGCCTATCACTAAATGATCTGACGTGGAGAGACACCTAAAGGATGGTCATTTATCATAAAAAGAAAAAATGATTAAAAAGAGGACATATATAAGAAGAGCTTTATATAAAGACCTAATGGATGCTAGAACTCAATATCAAGTTTCACAATCTAAACATTATAGGAAGTCAGAGAACTCCATGATGTTTAGAGGTGTGTGTGCGTGTGTGTGAGAGAGAGAGAGAGAGAGAGAGAGAGAGAGAGAGAGAGAGAGAATGGAAACTGATTCGCTCGCAGGTGTTTGTAACGCTGACTCGCATTTACACCTTTCGGAGTCACTGTTCATCCGTATACCTGACAGGAAACTGAAACCAGCGGAATTCAAGCTGACAGAACATTGGAATAAACCAGAGGACTTGCTTTTGAATCCATTCCTTCTCTATAATTGAAAATGAGCAGCCGACGGCGGCGATGCAAGCGTCAGTTGATCAAATTTACTCAGCATATTGCTCGATTAATCACAGGAACTCTGAACTCAGGTAAAGTCAACCAGTTTGTAACGGTCTCTTTCTGAATATTATTTAGGCTACCGCTCTGAGTCTGTATGAGACTAAAAAGATAACTAAATTGGCATATGACCGTCGCTTTGTTGTCCTGAAGTTCATTACATCTTTTATCATGCTCAGCTTTTGTTCATAAACTGTTACTATTAATGTCATAACAGATTGTTTGTTAATGTACATTTAAGTTGAAAAGTCATTAAAGTTAATCATCCTATTTTCACACACAATAGCCTAGTGATGAACTTATGATCTGTAATTACCAATACCAATTCCATTTATTGTGCTATTGTGCAAAAAATACACAGTGTGCCTTTGACTGAGAAATATTCAAATTCAGAATTGGCTCCTTGTTGCCCTAGGGTTTCAATACAATCACTCCTTGCAAGATTTCTGATGTAGCTATATGGTAGGCTACTCGAAATGTAATGAAGTAGCAACCAAAAATGTTAATGTTTAAAAAATGGAAAAAAAAAAAAAAACATTTAGTAAAAGATCAAAGACATAATACAAGTTCGTTTTTCACGAATTGTGCTCTTTTGCCATAAGCTTACACACCAGTCAAACAGATCAAGGGCAGTTTTGACATGGGGAAGTTGCAACAAAGCTATAACTAAATTGACATTTATGCATTTTATTTGTTACGGGGCGAACGTGAGACGTGAGACGTGCGGATCCATGTGCAAGGCTTTATTTACAAAGGCGTGGTCAATAAACAGGCAAGGGTCAGATTACACAGGTATATCACAGGCAAGACAAAGAATATCCCTAGGGCTAGCGTGGGCCTTCGATCGGCGAACAGTATCCAGAGGGCTTGACAAGAGGGGTAATCCAATAACACGAGCAATAGTCCAGGCGAGGTGCAAACACAGTCCGAAACAGCAAGACAAAGGGTTAATCCAAGAAACACAGGCAGAAGGTCAGGAAACAGACAACAAGGCAACACGAAGTGGCTAGACTAAGACTAGAACTAGAATGGCTCCGTAATGCAGCTATCGCTAGAAGAGTGATATGCGCTAAACAATACTCGGCAGTTTGAGAAGGATCTGAGTGAGTGTAATATAGTGTGTGTGTGATTGGTTACAGCTGTGTGCAATCAGTGCAATGGATAGTCCGTGGTGATGTGTAACAGTCTGTGTAGTGAAAGAGTCAATATGATGGACGAGTGACCTCTGGTGGCGATCGGACGGAAGTCCATGGACAGGATTCGTAACATTAGTAGACACTTTTATTCAAAGCGACATTGCACTGAAGGTATATTATAAATCAGTTTTTGCATTGCCTGGGAGTCAAATGCATGACCTTAGCAATGCTACATGCACTAATGTTTCAGAATGAATGAATGAATAAATAAATAAAAATGTAGATCAATGTAACAATTACAATTGGTTAATCCAAGTTGTTTTACTGTTTACATTTTTCTGAAAAAATCATAGCATGTAATGCATTCAAAATAGAGATGCATGTTTTTCCTTTTTCTTTTTTTAAAGATTGAACTTTTTATATCACAAGGTATTTCTCTCAAATCAGTGTCCGACTGTGAATATATGTATTATATGTTTTTTTTTTTTGTTTCCCATGCATATATCTATAATGTAATTATCCCATACAACAACAATTTATTTTTCTATTTTAAAAAACCATGACATCAGGTAAGAAGTAATCCCAATAAACTAAAGGAAATGTAAACCCAATAATCATGTCATACACTTATATTACAATAGATCAACTAAGAGGTATTCAGAATGGCACAGACCATTTTTGCTAGATTAGAAAAAAAGAACCTGAGGATAAATGATGTTAGAAAGAGCAAAAACAACAACAACAACAACAACGACAAAAACACCACAATAGCAGCAAAGGACTTTTTTTTTTCAATGAACTGTCAGTGCAAGTAGGCTATCTATCTCTTTAAAAATTATTTTTATATTGGGCAGTGAGAAACTTCTCATTCATTTTTTCAAATAAAATGAATACCTATACTATAAGCTAATCAACAGGTTTTGTAACTCCTTCCAGACAGTCTTGTGATTATAAATTCCTACACCCCCTTTTTCTTTGACTCTTCAAGGGTGTAATTACACATTTTACTGAAATTCTTAATATTTAACATCTTTTAGTCTGAAAATAATTCAGGCATGTACAACACAATGATGTAAATCCACCAAAGTTGCATCAGCTAATGTTTTAATGTACACTATTCTTCCAATAAATTGAATCATTCATCAATACACTGTGTTAGTAAATTAGGCTGTGTAGTGTATTCTGTTTGTGTTCAGTCATCACTGTCTGCTATTTAGGTGCAATAAAAATAATAATATAAATAATCTCTTACCACACCCTATGTGGGTTATTATTGAAATTACAGTGCTAATCATTAATGGTCTTAACTTTGTGAATGAGAGTTCTAATTAATTTCATCTTTCCCTTGGCTGTGCTTCATATCCTTGTGGGACTAAATATAATTACACACTCCATCATTCCATACCCAACCATAAGACACTGATGATCCCTTAATAATGCCATAAATTAAGTATTGCAGACACTGGTATCTTTTTCAGGTAATTTTGTCTGCCACATTTCTACTGGATTTTGGCTTCATTTTTTCTGCATTTGAGAAGGTTTTGTGCTGCTGTTTTATCTGCTACTTGAACACACCTTCCTTTTTGAAATTCATGCATGCAGATTACATTTAGTATATTATTAATTTAAAGCATTTGATTGTTTTCTTACTGGGGATTCACTGCCCAGCACCTGCTTTGCCTTAAAAGCATCATAAGATAAAAATAACTACAAGCTATTCAATCTTTTTCCCCTATTCCAAAAACAGGCCAAAGAAGGCATTTATGAAAGTAATACTGTCATGTTGCCACTCAGCAGGAAAATAATAATTACCACATTTCTCATGGCATACTATGGCAATAAATGGAAAAATGAAAGAATTTACATTAAACTAAGCCCTGATGAAGACGTAGCAAAATGGGTCATTTTTTATATAAAGATGACTAAAATAGCTCCTTTTTATAGTTTTCTTCTATCAGCCACCATTCCTTTTTGATGTACCGTACTCTTTCATCTGAGCTGAAGCTTATTTTTTATTTTTTTGTGGTTGATAATGTTGTTTTGACTGTTTGTGTTTGTTTGTGTGTGTGTGCGCAATGATTTTAGGTTTTCTCACAACTGTATTCTTAGTCCGAAAAATAGAGTGAAATACCATATTCTCTCATGTAAATTAAATTTAAGGCCAGCGATTTCACATACATCATTTCCACATCCTGCGCAGAGTGTTTAATAACACCTTTAGAATTTATTTTTTTTAAATACTAAAAAGAAACCAATCTAAACTTTTGAGGTATTCTATTAAAATGAGGAATTCTCATTAAAAAACTGGTGTTCCATTAATGATGAGATGCTCTATTAAAAATCCAGTGCATAATTCGCCAATATGTACACTCGGGCGGTACCTTTTCAAAAGGTACTAATATATACTTTTGAAGTATATGTATCTTTAAAGGGATAGTTCACCCAAAAATGAAAATTTGATGTTTATCTGCTTACCCCCAGGGCATCCAAGATGTAGGTGACTTTGTTTCTTCAGTAGAACACAAACAAAGATTTTTAACTCAAACCATTGCAGTCTGTCAGTCCTATAATGTCAGTGGATGGGAATCACGGCTTTGAGTGTCATAAAACATAAACAAACAAAACCAAATGAAACCCTGCGGCTCGTGATGATACACTGATGTGTAAAGACACAAAACGATCAGTCTGTGCAAGAAACTGAACAGTATTTATATTATTTTTTACCTCTGATTTTCACTGCAATGTCTGAACTGTCCTGATCGCCTTCGCAGACTTATAAGTGCATTACCGCCACCTATCTCTCAAATGGACCATTGACACTCCCAATTGAGCTTGTATTAGGAGTGTCAATGGTCCATTCTGACAAGATGCGCGTTAAATATCGCATGCGATTAATCGTGCAGCCCTAATATGTACCATTTAGGGGTAAATACAGAGATGTAACTTTCAGCTTAAAAATAAACATTAATTTATAATCAACAAAACAAATTTTGTTATAAGGCTATAATAATTTTTAAGGCACATCAGATAAAATTGTTCTTTAAGGTAACAATTGAAGGTTGCCACTTTTTTTAAACAGTGTCTATAACACATACTAAATTAAATATTATAATTGTATTTTATTTAGTTAATTGATGTTTCCTGCATAAAAAAGTTTCCCTTTAAACCGATTAAATATCTAGATCTAGACAAATGCAACTCTAAAATCTGCTCTAGTTATTTGTAGCACCACCTGTGCAGTGAAATGGGACCAGTTGAACAGTGGTGGGTGCTGTGACTTAATAGATTATGTTCTAGGAGCAGCTTGTAACATCTTGACCAATCTTTAAGTGGGTAATTCTAGTACTCCAATAATTAATCTCCTCATACAAAAACAATTGGTTAACAAGAACATTTTGACATTTTACAAATAGTAAACAGTTCAAGTAGGACTGAATGTTTTAAAGGAGACCACGGTATGCGATTATAATTGTGAAATATCTTCAATGTTTTTTCTTTCTTTCATTTTCTTCTGTATTTCCTCATATATTGTATATTTCTCATGCATGGACAATGAAATTAAAAAAATAAAAATTTTTTAAGCACAGAGACTGTATCTTGTGAAAACCAGTGCTTCTCTGCAAGCATCAAACCTACACTCTAAAAAATGCTGGGTTGTTTCAACCCAACTTTGGGTCAAATATGGACTAACCCAACTTTTGGGTTAAAAATGTAATGTAAAAATTTAACCCAATGGTTGGGTTAGTCCATATTTGACCCAAAGTTGGGTTGAAACAACCCAGCATTTTTTAGAGTGTATGCACCAGGACGTTCTTCATGAGAATCTGGGACAGAGGTATTATGCATGTCCTAAGGAGACACCGCTCAGTGTCTTTAGTTACCTGACCTGCTAAGGCACAGTAGTGAATATTTAATACAATTCACAGAAACAGGCCAGCAGATCCTTTAAGCTGTTTGTGCTATGAATACTGACCCCCACACACATACATAATACCTGCTAAATAATATTTTATGAACAGCTTTAAATAACAAAATAGCCAGATGAGTTATACAAAAATTGAATCAAAATGCCATTATATAGGTGTAAAAGCAATATAAAATACAGCACATACTTGTATGTTGCTGCAAATATTGACCCCTCTTACCAACAGTTAAACACTTGTCTCAGATCTCAGACACCAAATCTGCTTTGACCCTAATGTAGTTTCTCAAATCACAGATAATGGCGTGTAAAAGGAAACATGGCCTTGACAAAGCCATCAATACATGTCGCTCTCTTTTCATTATTCATCAAAAAGGCAAGTGTTTTTGTAATTAGTGTCACTGGACCTGCTAGTGCCAGGATTCTTAATTAAAGTTAAAGCTCTAGGCGTCATTGGGCAGTTTGCAAGCAAGTGAGGGTGCGTCTGAACTCCTGCATGTATCAGAGTAAATAAAAAAGACTGATTCTTTGATTCTGAAGCTGTTTTGCCCATACAAATGATGGCAGCTGTGTGTGCTGTGTTGTAGATAATGAGGATGAAGAACAAGAGAGCACAACGGTGCGGTATCACCCGGAAAATCTGGAGCAACTGCAGTCGCAGACCCATTTCTCCAGACAAGAGCTGCAGTTAATCTATAGAGGATTCAAGAATGTGAGAGTTCAGTTACACCCCACCTGCTGGGTGTAGAAATAAAAAATGATGTTGTCATTTTAGGGCTCCTGCTCTCTTTGGAGATATCCCAGTGTCTTAAATATTGCTTTCTTGTCTGGTCCTGTTTTTGCTAGGATTGTCCAAGTGGAGTTGTGAATGAGGACACATTTAAAAACATCTATGCTCTGTTCTTCCCACTGGGAGGTTGGTCCACTTAAATTTGTTTTTATAGATGATTAAATATGTTTAACCAAACAATATGATGCCACCTTTAGTAAAGTTCATAATAGGAAAATGTGCAAATCACGTAAAATTACAGATTACCTTTACTGCACACTGCAGTCAGTGTCTCCTCCTTGTGGTATGATGTGAGATTTTTCACAAAATATAATGATTTATGATATAATGAATCCAGTGTAACTTTTCATCCCTTTGGAAAATGGAGTGTGCCCTGTTATTACCAGATGCAGTTCAAAACAAAATCCTGTTTTTGTTATGGGACAGATCAGTAAAAGCAAAATATGTAATAAAAAAAATGTATAATAAAACTGACTCCCATCATAATTTTTCATTGAAAATGTTTAGATATTTACATATGTCACAGAAACGTATTTTACTTGCATAGATATAATTGATTGTTTTTATTTTCTTAGATTCATCGAAATATGCTCAGTTTCTTTTCAATGCATTTGATAAAGATAAGAATGGCTCTCTTAGTTTTGAGGTAAGTATTTTTAACTTAATTAGTTTGGATACAATATCATTATTAATTGTTTTTTTCTGACTTGAATGTCATCCAAACATTTGCAACAAATAATGATTTTCAAATGTTAAATCCTGTAACTCCTGTAAAATATAGCAGGAATGTTCAGGCACTTTATTATGTCAATTCTATTCAATAGTTTTACTGTGCTTTATTTTATTTTATTTGTTTTCAGGAGTTAGTCTGTGATCTCTCAGTTTTGTTGAGAGGCACTACAGAAGAGAAGCTGAACTGGGCCTTCAATCTATATGACATCAACAAAGATGGACAGATTACTAAAGAGGTCTGAAAACATTTTAATCTGAAGCTCTCAAGATCTGAACTACATCTTGAGTTTTGATTCCTGTCAAAAAACTTTGTTTGTTCTGTGAAGTATTGAATGCAAAGACTGTATATGATCTTTTTTTTCAGGAAATGTTAGATATATTGAAGGCTATTTATGATTTGATGGGGAAATCTATCCATCCACGACTTAAAGAGGAGGCAGTAAGGCAACACGTCAGAATGTTCTTCCAAGTAATGCCTTTATGCACTATTATGTTTAGAAAAAGTGACTATACATACATTTTTGGAAAATATGTAGGACCTACCATTTTGCTTTATATTATAGAAGTTTTCATGTGAAAATGTCCACAAGGTGGCGCTAGAAGCACTATGACTTTTAATCCTATTTGAATATGGCACTTAAAGGGATAGTTCACCCAAAAAAATTCACACTTGTTCAATCACTCACCCTCATGTCGTTCTAAACCTGTATGACTGTCTGTCCTATGTGGAACATGAAAGAAGATATTATGAGTAATGATCTAACAATGAACACCACTGGTAACCAGTACTGTTTAGTTACCAACATTCTTCAAAACATCTTCTGCAGAGGAAAGAAAGTCATACAAATATGAGGGTGAGCAAATGATGACAGAATCTTCATTTTTTTGGTGAACTTTTTTTTATTTTTTTTATTGCACCTTAAATATCACCCTGTTTGTCGTACAGACCTTTTGTATGGTTTCATAACACTTAAATTGTGCACAGGTTGTCTTGAAAACAGTAACCTGGGCATAATAAAAATTGTTACTGTAATGTTAGTTACAGTATCATGTAATGTAAAGTGCCATTTAGCCCTACTTTCAATCAAAGTCATGGCTTCAAATGCCAGGAAACACACTGAAAGAAAGTACCTTCTGTGCACTACGAGTTCCTTAAATATTGTAATTTTGGATTCAAATTGTTATTTAAAATTAAGGTTAAAGTTTAGAATAAAATAAATATTTTGGCAGCGGGCATTTCACCTGGAAACAGTAGTGAGATATGGCAACCATTGAATCTGTTATTATAAATTATTCACATTTTGAATGAGGTCAGGCTGGTCATGCAGCAGAAATATTTATTAAAACCTCTCTCAAACCTCTGTCAAAAGTCAGTCTCAATATGCATTACTAGATTACACCTCGCTCATACATTTGAAAGCAAAATGCATTGTAATCACATTTGTTTTTATTTAATTTTTCTTTCTCCCCTAAGAAAATGGACATAAACCAGGATGGTGTAGTAACTATTGATGAATTCATTGACTGCTGCCAAAAAGTATGGCTCGTTTTTATCTTTAACTAAACCTTGATTTCCTAAAGCAGATATGCATAATAATACAACTGTTGATGCTTTTGTTTTGCAGGATGAAAATGCAATGCAGTCTCTTAAGATTTTTGACAATGCTGTCTAGATTTTAGTCAGGAAATCCACCCTAAGCACTTGGACATTTCTAGATAAGTAATACTCATTGTTATAATGCCAGCTTTTCTGTGCTGCTGTTCTGGACTGCTCTTCACAGCTCAGGACTGCTCTGGACTGCTCCAGATTGTCTTACATTTACATTTACATTTAATAATTTTGCCGACGCTTTTATCCAAAGCGACTTACAATTGGGGAATTGTAACCAAGGTTACCAGAGAGTAACACAGAAATATTGTTATTAATATAATAACGTAATAATGTGAAAACTACTTAAAAGAAGTATATTCATAAAAGAAATATTAATTTTATACAAGCATATATTTTTATTTGGTTATTAATGTGACCAATAGTGATCAGTTTTGAACTTGAGATGGGCCAATGAGAGCGCAGAATGTGGCGCAGCGGAAAAATTGATTTCCGGGTTTTGCACGAGGTTTGCTCGTGGAATCAGAGGCAGCTCTCTCTATCGTGCACGGATGCCTGAGGAGCGCGGTGTTCGCTGACGCTCCGGGGAACAGAAACAAAGAAAATAATCTTCTAGATGAGTTTTATCGATGGATTGATGGTAAAGAAAAGGATTTAAAGGGGACGTGCTGTACCTGCACCATTCTGGACTGGAGTTTAACGATCTCCTTGGTCAGGTTTTTTTCGCTTCTTGTTCTGTCCCTTTCCAAATTCGATTGCTGTCTGTCTGATGTGACGAGATGTTCCGGTACCTGCATTCTGGATTTGTCCCGGCCTTCCGGTGGTTCTGAGGAGGGTTTGGACTGGCGAGCCTCCCTTGAGTCTGTTCTTGGATTTTCTGTGGAAACAAAAGACAAGTTTTTCTGACCCTGTGAATGGTAGGAAATCGAATAACTTTTCTTTTTTTTTTTTCCCTCTTTCGGATGGAGACGTTTTTTCCTCATTGACAGAGAAAAGACATTTATATCTCTCTACGGACTATTTGAAGAACTGTTTTTCTTGAAAGACTGAGCAATTGAGGGTTTTGAAATCGAAGGACATTATTTTATTTCATTGAGAAGTGTTAATTTTCTGTTGTGGTGACAGCTGTGATACATACATTGGGTTTTTGATATTTGAATACTGATTGATCTAAAAAGAAAAAAATTGACAAAGGTAACATAAGTGTTCATATTCAACCTTTATTTGGGTGAATCAACTACTGAGTTAAAGTGAACGAACAAAGAACTTACCTTGTTGAAAACTGAGGGAAAAGGTTCATGAAACCTGCTAAAACAAAAGAGTGATAAAATTTAGAAACAAGAATTTAATTTGTGAAAATATATATTTTTTTCCTTTCTGTTTTCATTGATTCGCATTGATTCAACTTACCCGTTGAGTGCTGTTAAACCACAAATACACATTTTGTGTTCAACCAAACCATTCGTTGAGTCTGTTCACTGCTGTTGTTGCATCTTTCTCAGCAGCGAATCTAGTCTTCTGAGACGCTGGTCCATAGATTGGCATATAACAAGTTACTAAATAATCTAAAAGTTATTAGCTAGATAGTAAGCGCTACAAAAAGTTGGCGAGCCAGCCAGGAGATTGATTGCCTAACAACAACAGTGATCTCTCAGTACGACAAAACAAAGATAATTCTTACTGTGAAACAAGCTATTCCAGTGTTAACAGTATGGATATAGTGGAACGAGAAAACGTGAATGTTTCCAATGCTGTCATAGTTGGTGGCATAACACTGAGTGAATCTGACCAAAACTTAGAAGCATGGCTTGTACGGTATGGCAGCATTAGTCGTAATCTGCTTATTGATGACCCAACATCTGAATTTCATCGGCAGGCTATAATATAATTTGCACATAGCTCTGCAATGAAAAACCTGAAGCCTCTGTTGCCTTTAAGTATTGTTAGCACGTCAGATGCAGATGTCATATTCACTGTGCATGCCCGGATTCAGCATTCCGGATAGGGGTGGGAAGATCATTAGAAAACGAAATATTCCTTCCTAGCAGCAAGTAATAATTTATGCAAAACACTCACGCGTTGCTGTTCTTCTCCTCTGTTGACTAATCGCTTGTCTTTTGTGAACTGACTGCTGAATGTATACATACCTTGGTAGAAATGTGGGACTCTTGTGTGAGTGCAATGTTACTTGTAAAACACAACATCAGTGTTATTGTATTATAATGTGCTTCTGTGGTTACTGACTTGGCTAATATTTGGCACAGCCTAGCTGTTTTATACTGACTGTTTCACACATTTTCAAAGCGCCTTTAACCCTAACCTTTTTAATATTTAATCCCATAGATAAATAATTTATTATAGACTAGGATTACTTCTCAAAGTCAAGCTAGAACCATGTTACTCAAGTGGGCACCTGCTTTTCCTTACATCAAATGCGCACATTGTTTAGGCAGTACACCAGATTTTTCAGCCAAAAACTTTGAAGTAATATCTTTAACTTTTTTAGTTTATTATTATTATTATTATTATTATTATTGATTACTTGTATATGATGCAAAAGTATTCTTTTAATTACTTTATTTTTTATAACACCATTCAATAACCAGCAACAGGTCTTTCTTTCTTTCTTTCTTTTTTTGGCAGGGGTTAGTCTGTGATCTCTCGTGGAGAAGACTGAATGAAGTTTATTGAACAAACAAAAGTGACACTATAAAACTAAGGGGAACTAGAAAGAAAAATACACTGAAACTTAGTTTAATGATGTAACACGTAAGATGAAGGTGCGTGACAACCCCCAAATATTGTTTTGGTGCTATTTTCTGTTCTCTAAATGCATCAATTCTTTGATTCATGAAATCCTTATTGTTTATAGCATTCAGCTACTGTAGCAGTTTCCTGAAGATCAGATGCCATATGTGAAATTTCAGTAGTTAGCGAAACTGTATAGGATGTACAGTATGGACAAGGTAACAATGTTTATAATAGCGTAGTATGTCTCTGATAATAAGTCAATAATTAACATTAAATAATGCTAACTAGTAATGATATAGGACTTTTAATATATATATATATAACTAATTGACAGTTTAAAAGTATTTTGCTGTTTTGTATATTTTTAATGTCAAGAATATATAATATACCAGTGGTAAGGGAATTAGGCCTTGATAATTTTTAATATAAATTGGTATGAATACTTATTACCAGAAAGAGTAGAGCCTCTAACCCAGAGTGCCTCCTCTCTCTCAGGTAGGGAGGTCTGTAGTTACACTGTTAGCGATTTCTGTAAATTACACAGTATTTAACTGTAATATGAACTGTACTTTACTGTAAAACAGTTACACAGTATGTTACTGTATTTTAAAATTGCATTATGGGAAATATCCTCTTGGCGCCATTAAAATACAGTATTTTTCATTTACTGTAAATCCAAATACAGTAAAAAAAATGAGCGGGAAACCTGACCAATGACAGAAAGGTTTTTTTTTTCTGCTTGGAGAAAGAAAAAGAAGAAAAAGAAAAGGAAGACTCACACACCTCGCGCCTGCAAATGTATGTACAATATTCCTGCTTTTTCATTACATATTTTATGTCAGTGTAATTTTAGGGGTTATTTGTTGGTTTAATTAAAAGCAAAATAATAATAATAAAAAAAACGCTGACACTGCACAACGCGCAGTTTCCTCACGGTGTTCGTTGGTAGAGAGCGGAAAACTCATTTGAGATTGAAGAGAGAACTTTCTGTGCAAAAAAAGATCTTTCTTTCTTTTCTTTCCTTTTTTGTAGAAAGTTTCACCATCAAAGTGCGAACATAAACAGGTCTCTGTCTTCGTTTTGACCACGTCGGTAGCAGGTGAGGTTTTATGTGAACTTGTATGAAATTGTTGAGATATATCCAGCTGCAGACCCGCAGCCCCACACGTTTCAGGACACACAATCCAGGCCGGAAGTAAGGCGGACCATATATGGTTAACGGTCGCAGTTTTGTAGTGCAATTTTCTTTTGTTAGATGTAATATGAGCTATCCCAAGAATTTTGATAGGATTTACAATATTTAATAATACACAAAATACTAAAAAATTATATAAAAAAAACTATTTTATTTTTTAAATTGATATTCATTTTGATCAGTCTAGTAAACCGTAAAATTTTTTTTGACTGTAGGTTATGATGAGATATTTAGGTCATGTTTGTTTTGTAACAAATACTTAAAGACACAGAGAATGGACCTTTGATGTCAAGAATACTTTTTATTTTAAAATTCAAATTGAACATGGGAAAAAGTGCAACATACTAATAAAAAAAAACATTTTAACAACCAAAAATAGAACTAAAATTAAAATTTAGAAATGTAATTGTAATATAAAAAAAAAAAAGCTTTTGAAAGTCTTATACTTTTCAGTCTTCAAAAGAATAATTAAATTTTAATCCCATTTTTTCATGGCATTCAACTAAAAAAATCTCCATGTCTTCCCTGAATGAAAAATTTAATGTGAATGGGTCTCTACAGTCTTCCACATCTTTGATGAGATTTTGGAGGGCCTTTTCCTTGTCATCCTCTTCCATTCTGAGGAAAAGAGGCTCTTCCACAGGGCCCCTGAACACATGTCTATTGGCATGTATCCATTTTACAGCCAGTTTCATGTGTTTGATTATAGTGAGCTCCTTCATTACAAAATGGCAAAGAATAATACAACTTTTATTATTTCATATAAATTACACATTTGCAACAACACATATTTACTGACAAATACCTCACTGCTGCTGGGTGTAGCTTGTTCTTCATGTAGCTCTAGTGTCTTCTGTCTTCTGAGGTTTTCTGTCCTGTAACATTTTTTGGTTGATTTTTTTTATTAGTCTGGGATAGGGTGCAAGGTAGTGTGAACTGTAGGGAAATAAACCAGTATCCCGGAGTAATTAATTTACTCAAACAGTACACTGACTGAACTGCTGTGAAGAGAGAACTGAAGATGAACACGAGCAGAGCAGCCGGATAATGAACGTACACGCCGACTGCTGGAGCGGTTCTCGTTCTCGAGTCAAGAACCGGTTGCATCGGTTTTCGGATCACCAGTATACTGAACCTAGAACCGTTTCTTTCGGACACGTCCGATTTGAGAACCGATGAGCTGATGATACTGCGCATGCGCGATTCAGCGTGAAGCTACCGAACAAAAAGTGCATACATACATTCATCAAAAAGTGCATAAAGACAG